TCAGAATAAACTAAAAATAGCATCACTGCAGTCGCAGCTCCTTTCATTTATCAATCAGCAATCATCATTAATTTTTATTGTAATTCATCATGCTTTATTAGGATTAGGAGTCATTTAAACGATCATTCAAAAACATTATATTTAAATAGCAATATAAAAATGAAATCTCAATAGGATTTAATAGTAAAATCAACAGTATTGCACCACTAGAAATCACAGAGGTAGTTCTGCATCCTTAACATTTTATTTTTGAAAATTTAATATATTTATTTTAGAAATGCATATACTAAATTGCAAAAAAACTTTCAATTTTTCCCTACCTATATATTATAAATACTTTAAATTATTTGTTTCAGCACTCATTTCTGTTTGCCTCTGTTATCAGTAATTTCCTACTTGAGAATAAATGTATCGTGTATTATGGGAAATCACACACTCGAACGTAGTCACGTTGGATCAATTGCTAAAACAATTTAAATCAAGTAAATAATTGATAAAATAATTGCTTTCGGAATATATGAGTGACAGATCAGAAAATAAAATGACAAAAATAAACGAAATTTTTAAAGCGTCACTAGGAGAAAACAGTGAAATGAAAGTTCAGGCGGTAACAGGGGAAGTTCAGAAAAAAAAATAATTTTGAACTTTCCATTGCCATGCAGCACTTGTCAAACAAGAAAGTTTAATGATAACCCCACTTATTTCTTGTACAAAATGTACGAAGAAAATGTATCTAAACATCGCAGATTTTCTTATCGTCTTTTCTCTCCGCTATGACTGGAAAAGAATCAGGTTCTATAAGCGAAGTTTTCGATCCGGAAAATAACTCAAATTTCGAATTGATCACATCGATGAAGTGTTTGCATTTAAATATTTCAGAACATATTTATTTTAGATTATTTAAAAGCAATTTTTACAGTTTTTTGAAACATTCACCCATTTTCGAATGTTCAACTTCCTATTTTTTATAGGGGCATGGACGCATTAATTCCTACTTCAAATCTATAATATAACACACTGAGACACCAACCATATAAAAATGAAAATGTTTCGCTATTGCGCTCACAATAAAACAAAAAGTTGAAGACCCACTACAAGAAGTGTATTCGCTTGTTTCAACTTTTGTTCTTATTGTGAGCGCAGTGGAGCAATATACAGGGAAAACCTAATTTGTCTGACGGCTTGAGTTTCATGTGTACGAGAGAGAACCGCGAGAAGTGTGTATCAACACATGTAAGTAAGAGATAGAAACCGACTGAAAAGCGAAGGTCTCCTAGAGACTGTGACGCACATACGATATGTTACACCACAAAATGTTCGCATAGGCTTCTACAATAGGTTAGGTTACTGTCAAACCCAAGGAGGAGGTCTGCTCAAACGTTTAATTCAATATTTTGTTTTAATTTTGATTAGAATTATTTATTTCAATTCTGATGCGACTTGGTGTTTTAATTTATCTTAGAATTACCTTTGATTTCCACCGATGGTGATGAAATCAACACATCCTGAGTTATTGTTACATTTTGCGACAGCGAGCGGTTGGAAAATATAACAAATTCCATTACGCAATACAAATTATCGCTACCTACATACGTGTACGCAGGTGAAAACCATTTCGAAGCAGGACGACACTTCCCAATGAGCGCTAGATGGGTACTGACCAATATCGCTCATCTATGCTCATGGAGGTGGAAACCTTGCATTGGAATGTACGAGATGCAGTGTTGTCAAGCGAACCAATTTTGCAATTCTGTAGATTATGACTATTCTGACCTTACATTTCGACCTCAAATGGAGCGCCGTTAGGACCGGTCTGGAATCAATCTTAAACAGATTCGACACAATTTACAATTCAAAACTTTGTTCGCTCAAAATAAAACCATTATTTGGACGTAGAAAATAAACTAACCCATATTTTCAACACGCATCTTAATTCAAGGAACTGGTGTAATATATTGGCAGCGCAGCAGATTGCCGCGTCAGCGTTGCTAGGCAACGCGGTGACGAGCTTCGCTCTCCAGCCGGCTTCTATCTGTTTCTAACATACGCTATACAGACTTATCTCTCATACACATTCAACTCAAGCCGTCAGACAAATTTGGTTCTCAGTGTATATGTTTTGTATTTTTGAGTATTTTATTAAAGTTTTTAGGTAGGAAGTATTGCGACCATGTGCTCATAAAAAATAGTAAGTTGAATGTTGGGAGTTGGGTGAATTATGGACTAAACTGTCAAAAGTGTAAACTTTGGGCTTTTAAAGAACAACCAAATACTTAAATAAAAACAAAAATGGCGATAAAAGCTTCAAATACATATGCTCTAAGATATATAAATACAATTTTGCAAACTTGAGTTGTTTTCAGGGCCGAAAACCCCGATCCTTTCACACATTCTGGGAATAAGTCTGAATTGAGATTGATGTGTTTTGACGCATATAATTTATATGTTTAGATTTTTGTCTATTACCTTTCCTTTCTGTCTATCAAAATATGAGTAGATCAATTGTCGGTATTTCTTTGTTATACGATGTATTTAGACTTTTAATTTATTTATCAACGTTTATTTCTCACGAGCTTTTATACATTTCATGTGTCTTCGGCAGATTAAACACTACTACTACTACCACTACTACTGCTGCTCCTGCTGCTGCTGCTGCTGCTGCTGTACATGAAATTGTACAGTCATTCCTATTATCTTTGACGCTTATTAAAAAATCGATCTATAACTAACACTGATGCCAACTACGTATTGCATGCCGGAAATGATTACTTGGATAGGTTACATTTTATTACTTACTTATACCAAAAGGAATTCGCTCCATCTAGTCTAATAGCTTCCTATTTTGCAACTTCAATTACATGAACATGTATGAGTATGTGTTTGAAAAAATGATCACCTAGCGTACGTTTCCAGAGAATTTCACATTTGCAATTAATGTTTTTGTGAAATATCTCTATAAGGTATATATGTTGCGTAAATGAATGGAGACGCCGACAAGTAGTATTTGGAAATTATCGTAACAAGAAATGGTGGATGACGAAATTTCGTAAGCGATATGTGAAGTATGATCGTGGAAATTTTTGATTTGGAGATTTTTCTAACGTAACGCGTCCATCGCACAAATCCATGCCACTCGTTTCTTTCGATATATCTGTTTGTGGCTCATACTTATTTTGTACCAGAGCAGTTTCCGCAACAAGTTTGATGAAATTTTGGACTTGGTATGCTATGACTTAGTAGGCTCATCAATAATCACATATCTTATCAAATTGGTGCATTGGCAAGTTATTATATGACTCCACATACATGTTGATTTAGGGGGACCGATATAAATTACAAAGATAAAAACATTTAATATCACTGAATTAAAGGCAAAGAACTTTTTGTTGCGTATATTGTCAGCCATTTTCAGCCTTCAAAAATGTATCTGAATCGTCTTTTGGTATACTTGTCTGTATGACAGTATTTGGAAAGATGAAACTTATTATTAGATCATATATTCGCTGTTTGCTCCAAATAAATCTATCTTTTGCATAGGCCACATCAATTTCGCCAGTATTTTGAATAGTAACTTTGTCGAAATATTTCCAGACGACATTAGTTTTCCTTATTTTTGCCTATTTCGTACAGCACTAAGCTTGAAGCAATTGAAACGGATGAAATAAATGTTATGACTTGCTTACATCAAGGTGTGAATGTAAAAATTTGCTTCATATCCACTTGGACAAGATCGGCAGAACTGCATATGTATGTTTACATGGTGTCAGCAGTTTTTTGCAAAACTATTTTTGTATTTCATTATTTATATTTGTAGTTTGTCACTGTTTTCACCAGATGCTGTCGTCTTTTTTTATGTGTTTTCTGAGAATCACAACAGAAGCAGCCAAATATATAAAGCATTTTCGTTGTTCGCGTCAATCATTCTGCTTTAGAATGTTAATATTCATTTACCATATAAATACCACATTAACAATTCTACTTGATTCGTGATTTTGAGAGGTGAAGGATATGTAAGATTGTCTTCATCAAAAAGTAACAATGGCAAAATACCTGATATCAAAATTAGTGGGGCACCATGCATCAATTCTACTCGTAACTAGTTGAGCATCATATGGAAATTACCGCTATTATATCATTGCCATTATATTTATTCAAAAAAAAGGTATGGAAGTAATTTAATTAATTTGATATTCATAGTCAAATTGGCACTTAGTGCTGATTTGCTCCTTCTACATAGTCTGAATTCATTGGTTTATTGGTGCATATCCTATATTGGGTGATCTCTAATGTTAGTTTGTACAGTTTCCCTTAAAGTTTCACAGCTTATATCTCAAATATTCGGATTCCTCAAAATGACACCGTACCCAGAGCTGTAACATGAACTTTTCTCGACCACTTCTATGTTTCTTGAAATGCCGGCGTAATTTTCAAGGCTATTGTGTTGTATTATGCAGTTTTACTTTTACTACTAGTTTCTTATGAAATTCTCTTAATATTCTACATTCTGGGCTTCCGGAGGAATTGCTGGCTATTAAGATATAACACTTTGCACTCAAAGAGAAGATAAAAGGCCTTCTCTGATCCTCTTCTACATTTCTAGTCTTGATGTCATCCACTATACGTTTTGTACAAGTGTCCTTTAAGATTATGTCCTGTCAATAGTCCCTTTTAGGGCCGTTTTGAGACATGCCGACGCCCTTGAACACACATGGGGCTCGGTGCAGATTTGAACCTGAAGGAGCCCCACATCACACCGGAATTGCTTAAAGTTTTTCGGAAATCTCAGATGGTTTTAGGGCAATTGGACCCCCATGACACTAGCTCCTGCCCCTCGCACCATATACGAAGCTAATTCATATGCAAAATAAAACTTTTTTATTCAACTAGGACTTGATATATTGTGTAATTCCGTTCAACATACACCCAACTGAACAATACTTCATGCATTGAATTCATGCCTATTATTAATAATTAACAATTATTGTTTATGTTGATTACAGGTGAGGGCCTCGCAAAAGGTGTGCGTGAAGGTAAAAACGCCGAGCCTGGACTTTGCGGAAACGGCTGAGGAGGTTTTTAAAACCGGTCCTGCATTCCTTAGGGGCTGGTCATCCTTTGCAAGGTCAGTTTGCATATAGCTGCGTCATGCGGAAGTTTTCTCATGACTGAAGGACTATTACACGATTATGTACCTTTTATATCGAGAATCAATGCTTTTTCAGCAATTAAATACGCAATAATAATTTCAATTTTTTGATACAGTAGGCCAAGAAATATGGAGATTTTGTCTAAGTAAATCCTACAATTTAGGGGGCAATACATTTTTTGGTACTATCGTTAAATTATTGATTCCTAATGATCAGTTCTAACTGGCGTCATGATATGGCTGGAGGATTTGCCGCCGTTTTTAAAAACGCATTCGATCCAAAATCTCGAAAAACATCGATCATATGTCAAAAAAGGTAATAGCAACAATTTTGTAGGGAATTAGATTCTTCATAATTGCTAGAATAAAAATGTGTCGTATAGTCAACAGACTACGATAATTGAGATGTTGTTTCTCTGACTCCCATTGTCTATAAGGTTTTTTGATTCACGACGTTTCGATTCATACGATCATCAGGTGAATCTGATGAAGATTGAAGATCACATCAATCGAAAGACGTGAATCAAAAAACTTTATAGACAAAGGAAGTCCGAGAAACAACATCTCAATCATTCATATTGACATCAAATTTCAAACAATACAGGTAGTTTAGTTACGATATTTCAAGAGGTAAATGATATTTCTGCCTGTAATTGCTCAACTAAGAGCTAAGAGTATAAAATACTACAATTTTTGTGAGAATAAAATTTACGACAAAAAAGTTTTGTTACTTTTTTTTGACACCTTGGTGGTACTTGAAGTATGAGGGAAAGTTATCAAAACAGTCGCGCGACATACTCCGCAAGCCTCGTAAGTTATCCACGTCACCTGGATACAACATTATTTCACAAGGAAATAACTTCTTAATCATTATATATGACCAAGAAAACTAATCTAAAGTGAATGAATTTTGGATGCAAATATGGAAAATATATTTTAATTTGTGAAAATTCTGAAAATCAAATCACTCACTCCCATTAGTCTGTCTGTTGGAGATTTTGTCACTGAGTTATTTCAGTTTCAGTGGAAGGTGAGATGTAGTAGATAATGCTGGCATGTGGCATCACCCCCATTACAACGGTTTCTGAGACTACGTAGTGACAAAATGACTAATAGACGTACAAGTAAGAAATTGATTCACTCTGAAATAATAATAATAATATTTATTTACTCTTGAAACAAAATACAAAGAATGAGTAAATAAATATGAAGTAATGGCCCATAGGAGGCATTGCCTGTACATGGACCATAGATGTTGCGACTGTATTGCTAAAATATGAATAGAGATACAACTAATCAACGAATTATTTGATCACATTTACTATTAATTTGTATACGTCTGGTATTGCCAAAGAAAAAATCCATTCTTTTAACATTTTCTTGAACTCATTCCCAAAGCGTAGATCTTTTATATCGTCAGGTAAATGTATATACAGTGCTTTTCTTTAATGTCCCCCTCCCCTTTGATTAAAAAAATTAAAACTTGAGGTAATGAAATTGATGCGTGGATATCATATTTTAGAGTAAAATTGACAGATAAAAATATCAAGATGGCCTCAGCGGCGCCATCTTGGAAAGAAATTATATGAAAACGGGAGACTTGTGGCACATCATTTTGAAGCTCCTGACGAGTACTTTATAACCCTAGAATATAAAGTCAATACCTTTACCTACTACAAAATGGTGGTACATTTAATAATTACCTGAATATATTGACATTTAACTTGATAATTCGAATAAATGCGTTGAGTTCAGTTTAGAAGATGCTGGAAATGGTTGAATTGAACTTCTTGACACAATAACAGCCAGTCCGTAATTTCGCGACGAACATTGTCAAAGATAGTAGCATCGATATTTCTACAAATATCTGTTATTCTCAGCCGTATATCCAATATTGAAGCAGGTTCAGTTTAGTACACGTTTTGCTTTAAATAGCCCCATAAAAAAAGTTTAAAGGTGTCAAATCTGGCCATTCCACAGGACCTCGACGGCCAATCCAACGACCGGGGAAATTGTTATCTAAATAATTCCTAACTTGTCTGTAGTAGTGTGGTGAAGCACTATCTTGCTGGAATACAATATCAGTATCGAATTCATTAGGATTCGCTTCGACGATTTAGGTGATTAGAGGGTCAATAGTATTTTCCAGCATATAATAATAATAATAATAATGTTTATTGTCACAAAATACAAGTAAATATCAAATATTGTGCACAATAAACATAAAGCACCCAAAAAAAGTTTGCACTTGTGTTTGGGTTTGTACAAAATAAAAACTAATAGTACAGTCAGTGTATGAAAAAAAAACCGTTAATACTGTATAATTTGGTGAATTATTATGGTAATGTCAGGAAAAATATCCAGACAATTAGAACTAAAGTAAAAGTATGGATGTTAGTGTAAGTAAAATATTATTGATTTTGATAATGATTTTTCAGATCTACAATTTCGTAGATGGAGTACCTTGGTTGTTGTAAAATCCATTTTTTTAGTTCTTTTTTAAATGATTTATTTTATTAAATTACTTTTAATGACTCTGGTATGAAGTTATAGAATTTTGGTCCCAAGAAAAACAGAGATCGTTGTGTAATGGTTTTTGATGTTTGTGGAATACACATTGAATTTTGATTGAATCTTGTTGGGTAGTATGAATGGTACGATTAAAGTATTTTGAATATTTGAAATGATGTATTAGACCACAATAAAAATAAATTTGTCTGCAATCTAATAGCTGAGCCTCCACATATAGAAAATCACTTGAATAAGTAATCTCCCTATGGAGGATCAATTTTAGAATTAATTTTTGGATTACATCAACCTTTTTGTAAGTATTATTCATAACTCTCCCCAAGCCAAAATTCCGTAAAGTAATAGAGGATAAACAAGAGCATAATATAGATTATATAGATATTTCTTATCTAGAATATCTCTGAAGTACCGGAATTTTGGAATAATACATCTCAGTCTCTTCACAAGGTACTCTGTATGGGTATCCCATTTTAAGTGTTTGTCCAAAATCACGCCTAAGTATTTTATTTTATCGGCTAACTGAATCTCTTTGAGACCACTGATTGTATGTACTTCAAGTTTTTTAAATTGTGGTGAGAGCCTGTCGTTACAAGAAAATGCTATATAGTGTGTAATTAATTGTCAAAGTTCTTTCCGAAAAGAAATTTATAAATGTTTTGAAATCATGTTCGATTGTGGTTTTTAGTGTATGCCACTGGTTGCTTTCATAGAGAATAGCTGTATCATCCGCAAAACCGATAACTTTACCTGTACTACTTATTTTGAACAAATCGTTGATAAATAGATTAAATAAAATGGGTCCTAATACTGAGCCTTGAGGTACACCGTATGATATAATATGGGGTTCACTGAAGGTGTTATTAATTTTGACGCACTGTGTTCGATTTGACAAATAATTTTCTATAAGTTTGTATGTTATTCCCCGGAAACCTAAGTTTTCTAAAGTTGTTAAAAGCGATTCATGAGTAATAGAGTCGAATGCCTTTGCCAAGTCAACAAAAACACAAGCAGTTGGTTTGCCAATATCGAGATTCTTGTATATTTTACTTGTTAATTTTACAATAGCATCTTGAGCAGATTTGCCTTCTTGAAAACCATATTGCTGTTTGGCTATTAAGTCTGTTAAGTTATATTTTTTTGCAAATTCGGTGAATCGTTTTTTAACACTTTTTCAAATATTTTAGAAAAGTTTGTTAAGATGGAAACTGGTCGATAGTTGATGGGTTTTTCTATTTCTCCAGATTTAAATAATAGTTTTACCATAGCGTGTTTTAAACATGAAGGGAATATTCCTTTATTCATACAAGAATTTATCAAATATGACAGTATGCCGCAAATGTTGCAATTTATTCTCTTGAGAGTATACGCTGTTATATTATCTAGACCTGGAGATTTTCTTAATTTCAATTCATTGATTATTGTCTTTATTTCATGCGTATCGGTCGGTTCCAGATATAATGAGTTATATAATCTGGTCTTACTATAATTTAATTTCTCCGCGTTTTTTATGTTTTCTGACAACCTTTTCCCGATTTTTGAAAAATATTCACAAAACTCATTTGCTATATCTACATCATTACTCACTAGTTCACCATTTTCTTTTTTAATTGTACTAATTTTGTTGTTTTGTTTTTTGCCTTGAATTTTATTGATAAATTGACACATTTTGGACGAACAATTTTGTAGATTATCAAACTCGTCTTGGAGATATTTAATTTTAGCATCTTTAATTATTTTTGTCAGTCTGTTTCGATATGATGTAAATTCATTCAAAAGTTTAACATCATAAGGATATTTTTTGGTTTCCTTATATAATTCTATTTTTTTGTTGATGGAGGTAATAATCCCTTTTGATATCCATGCTTGTCTTTTTATTTGTGTTCGTGGAATCTTTACTGTTTGGGTGCATTCAGCAATATGGCCTTCAATGCTAGATATAAAAAGGACAACTGCATTTTCAATATTAGGTTCGTTATATACTACAATCCAATTTTCATTGAGTAAGTTGTTATTTAGTTTTTCATAATCAATGTAAATTTTTGTATTATTCACTGTCTTTTCAATTTTGGTTGATGTACTTTCAAGATCGATTTTGAGCAAAATAGGAAAATGATCAGAAATTTTGTATTTTAGAATTGCTGAATATATTTTGTCAAGTTCTAAACGTGAATTTATAAACATATGATCTATACAACTCCCACTGTTTCCCTCTACTCTTGTCATTTCGTTAATGGCTGACAGGTAACCATGTTCAACCATTATATTTAAATAATCTTGAATATTTTGATTGTTATGATCTAATTGTTAATGTTAAGGTCTCCAATGAATAAGTTGATGTCAAATTTTCTACTGCTCTCTAGATAATCATGTAATTGACCGTTAAATGTTGTTACTGATATACAGGGTGATTTGTACACACCAATGATCTGTATAAATTTATTATTCTT